TTCCCGGTACCCTACAGTTCAGCTGACATTGTCACAGAATCAAGCCCAAGGGGCTTCAATTTAACATTCTGTCTTTGCTGCCATCTCCCACTCCTGCCTCCTGTTCATTTACTCCATGCTCTCATTCCTTTATGCCTTCTCTTCCAGAAACCTGCCTGTCCTCCCTGGCCCAGGATTCACATTCCCCTATCCTGAGCTTCCTGAAGTCTTCCTTGCCTGTCCCTTGTTTTAGTGTAGAAGGCCAGCCTTTCCAGGAAGACTTCCCAGATTCCACAGTCAGAATTAATCTCTTCAGTCTTCCCATGGCAATGATTTCTCCTCTTTATGAGACATGCAGTTTTCCTCTATCATATTAATACACTCTTTTGACTCCTTACCAGATGTTAAACTCCTTGAGGCAGGTTATGTCCCTCCAGCTGACATAATACCTGGCATATAGGAGGCACTTGGAAACTGTTTGTTGACTGGAATAAAACATGCAGTAACTGAACATGACGCTATTGACTAATTGAATCACAGTGAACTGCTGGTCTAATACTTGCTGGCAAGCACCCTGTTTTTAGACATCTAACCCCCTTGCCCCNGACTAGAATAAAACATGCAGTAACTGAACATGACGCTATTGACTAATTGAATCACNTGTTGACTGGAATAAAACATGCAGTAACTGAACATGACGCTATTGACTAATTGAATCACAGTGAACTGCTGGTCTAATACTTGCTGGCAAGCACCCTGTTTTTAGACATCTAACCCCCTTGCCCCAGAGACCCTAACTCAACACGAATACAGAATATAGGTGTTCAATGAATGCTTGGTGGTTTGAAATTGGCAACAGAGTCTATCCGTGTTAACACTAACATTTTAACACTCAACGCTGACCTCTGCTCCAAGGGGCACTGCTTTCTTTATATCTGGGCACGTCCAGCTGGCATATTCTGCTGCTGCTGCAGCACTAACTGGCTGCAATTCGAGAAGCAGGGCTTCAGGCTCCTTTAGTGCATTAGTTATGCTTGCCTAGCTTATTATTGCCTCATTCCAGCTTGCTACACTCACTATCAGCTTGCAAGTCTTGCTGCTGTCCAAGTTGGCCACATCAGTTGTGCTATGATGGGCGTCCCTCTGGGCCCAGATGCCTGGCCTTATCCCAGGACTTTGTTGCTGGCAAGCTTGGCTGTCTGTGTAACCCTCAGGAGGGAGGCCTTATAGTTGATGCTGAGCTCAGTGGTCAGAGGCAGTGGTGTGCACTGAGCAGATTTGGGCTTCACAGGTGGACCATATGCAATTAATTGTTGCTTTACAGATGGTGAGTGTGAGCTGGGCCTTGACACTGAGGTGACACCACATTGTCACTGCCCACCTCCCTTGGGTCATGCAGTCTGAATGATTTGGAACTCAGGTTCTTCATAGATTAACGAATCATTGAACAAGAGTGTGTGTGGTCTAAGCAGCCACTTTAGGTAATAGCTTTCAACTCTGCACTGCCAATGATATTTGACCATGTCTAGTTTCTCTTGGTAAATTGAACTAGAATTTTCCTCAATATATGACTTGCTATCAATCTATATGCAGGCATATAATTGAATTATTCTTACTTATATTTTAACTAAATAGATATAATAGATTATCCAATAAAGCTAAATTAATATATCATAGATGCAATCCTTAAAGTAAAAAGATGATTTCCATAAGCCACTCAAAACATCCTGTCTCAGTGCTGAGTTTGACTCCCTTTCTCTGCAGGGAACAGGAAGAAAGAAGGGCGCCAGTGTCGAGCGTGCACTTGATCTATATCATCTCATTAATTACAATAGTAACATGAGGTGGGGCTGTTGTACTCATTTTAAAGATAAGAAAACCGAATCTCAGAAATTAAAGATAACGGCCCCGCCGGGTGTGGCTCAGCGGTTGAGTATCAACCTAGGATCCAGGATATCGCAGTTCGATTCCCGGTCAGGGCATGTGCCCAGGTTGTGGGCTTGATCTCCGGTCAGGGGCGTGCAGGAGGCAGCCAACCAGTGACGACTCTCTCATCATTGATGTTTCTGTCTCTCTCCCTTCCTCTCTCTGAAATCAATAAAGATATATTTAAAAAGAAAAAAATGAAATTAAAGATAACAAAATTGACTCTCATTTAGGTGGCAAAGGAGTCTATGTTCAAGCCTGGGATGGTCTAGCTCCCTGCCTGTGTCATGGCCTCTCTTTTATGACTGCAAAGTGTGCTCATTTAATGAGGATATTTTTAGGCATATTTCCCAGAAAGCTATTTTCTGCTGTTAATTATTGATTGAGTCCCTAACACACTGTGGACTTCAGGTCCTATGTGATTTGGGCGATGCTATTTTCTGTGCCTGAAATGTTAGCCCAGTTCCCTTCCCTTGTGAACGGCTCCTCATTTTTGAGATCCAGCTCATACGTGACCTTCTCTTTGAAGCTGTCTTTGAACCATACCCCATTTTTTCCTTTACAGTTTTCTTTCTTGGATTTAAAAAAATTAAGAGAAATTAACACACATTTTAAGTAGTGCAATAATAGAGATTTATAAATAGTACTCTATCTCCTACCTCTATTCCATTTCTGCCCCTTTCTGAATAACACATTAAAAACATAATATCAAACTTAAAAAAATGTAATGACCATATACTCTTTGTCCAGATTCACCAATTTTTCAAATGTTGCCACATTTATTTTATCACATTTATTTCTTCCTCTCTTTCTCCCTCACTATATAATAGTTTTCTGGAGGGTTTGAAAGCAGGTAGCATACTTCACACCCCTTTATACATTAATAATTTAGTTGTATATTCTAAAACTAAGGCCATCCATCATCGCTTCTCTTTAGTCTCCTTAAATTTGGCATAGCTACTAGTTGTCATATCATTCTGTAATATAATATATAGCTTTAAATATAATTTAAACTTTGTGTTAGAATGTATATAACAAAATGTTAAGATATTTATTATAACTTTGAAATCCATAATGTCATATAATATATGCTGTATACACAATTGAAATATAAATATATAAGACATACTACATATTATGTAATTTATAATATTTAATTTAAATGTATAATATATAAAATTTATAATATATAAATAATATATATTTTATGTAAATACATAATATAGAAATATGTAAAAATAAAATATGAATATAAAACAAAAATAAAGATATATAACATATGCATATATAATTTATTATTTAGGTACAACTATACCTGTAATATGTAATAATATATTTATGCAATATTATTTTATCATATATTAGGTTATGTGAATTGTAATATAATTAGTAAATCAAGATATAATATCAATTAGAAGATACTAAGATATGATAATATTTAATGTTATAAAATGATAATATAGAATTACTATGTTTTATCTTTTATTAATAGAAATATATATTAACTTGTGTGTTTTAATAGAATGTTCTTATTCTGGGTTTGTCCTGTGATTTCTCATGATTATATCCAGGTTATGCATTCCTGGCTGGCATACTACACAAGTGATGTGTCCTTTAGGGTAACACTTGCAGAGGCATGCCATATCCACTTGCCCTTTATTTTATTTTATTATTATTTTTTAATATATTTTTATTGATTTCAGAGAGAGGATGGGAGAGGGAGAGAGAGAGAGAAACATCAGTGATGAAAGAGTCATTGATTGGCTGCCTCCTGCGTGTACCCTACTGGGTGGGGATCAAGCCCTCAACCTGGGCATGTGCCCTGACCAGGAATTGAACCGCGATCTCCTGGATCCTAGGTCGATGCTCAACCGCTGAGCCACGCTGGCTGGGCCCACTTGCCCTTTATTGATGAGGTTGAGTTTTATTCCCCAGTCAAGGCGTAATACAATGTAATGCATTTTCTCCATAGTATAGTTATTCTTTTTATTTTTCCAGCTAATAAGTAATTGGTGAGGAGATGGTTTGAAGCCCTGCAACTATTTTGTGCCTCATTAAACTTTCATACCTTAGATTTAGCCTGCCTTGATACTTTGTGATGTTTCTTGACTGCTCCAATCTTTACTCATATGGAGAAGCAAAGTGGCTATTTTCTAACTGCACTTCTCCCTCTATATTCATTAACTGGATTTTTAATGTAAGGAAGAGCTCTCCATTCTTTTCCACTCACTTGCTTACAGTGTGTATGTAGGTACTATATGTGCGTTCATCCCTCCGTCCATCTATCCATCCATATATTTATTATCAGTATTATCAGACACTCATGAATGTCTTTTCAATGGTTTATAATTTTTAATGTCCTAATTTATTTTAATGTTCAGATTGTCTCATATTTGGTCAGTGGCTTGTCACTGGCTTCTGTGTCCTTTTGACATACATGTGCCTTTCTCACATGAGAAGGTGATCCAAGCTTCTCTCGTGTCTCCCCAGCCTCAGCCCTGCGGTCCGTGCTCTCTTTAGTGGAGGAATGGCTTGCAGTTAGTGCCAGGATGGCCCTTTGCCACTGGGGTATTTGCTTTTAGGCCCTTTCAGTGACAGAGCTAAGAAGCACACACATGTGCACACACTCACATAGAGCAATGATGAGTTCATATTTATTCCCATTCTTGTCAGAATTACTGATTCCTCAATGTACTTTTCATAGTGCTGTGTAAATACCTCTGCTCCGTCAGCACCCAGGGCCCAAACACTAGCACGCAGTCTGGCACTCAGTCACTGCTTAAAAAATATTTCTGAATAAACCAATACATGAATAAACTTTGATGCTGTGGATTAACCTTCTATGGAAGGAAGGCTAAAGATGAAGTGAAGCATTAAAATCTTGCTTCTACCTTCCTCTTTTTCTCTTTCTATATACATATTGTTAAATATATGTGATCACCGGAGGTGGTTAGTCATATATCAGAATTTGAAGAACCGTGTGTTTTTTTTGTTATTATACTTTACATTCATCAAAAAACAAATACATTTCTGTAATGGTCTTCTGAAAGTAATTTTCTGAAGTTTTCATTTTTAATTTTTTTCAAACATCCTAGGTGGCTGGAATTGTTGGCAGAGCCGATGTGTTAGCATGCCTGCTGTTTCTGTTGGCCTTTCTCTCCTACACTAGGTATGTAGAGCTAAGAATGTCCTTCTCTGTGATTACAGTCATGCTGTTCCTTGGGAATTTCTGCTGCGTGGGGGGGACTCGGAGCATCTGCCTGAGAAAGGAGGGAGGCTTCTTGGCAGTGAAATGCTCAGAGAGCTTCCCAAGGACCTGGCCTAGGGGATCCTCTCCTCACCAAGTGCTGGGGTGTTCTCTCTTCCAGCCACATGCTGAACCTTGTCACAGCCTTTTGTAGGAACTGCCCTCCCAGTACCAGGACAAGCTCTTGTTCTTGATTCCCCGTACTTGCAGTTTCTTACTGAGAATGGAATTTGGAATCTTAGCTCTGAGCCAAAGTATATTGGGTGTAGTCCTCTCTCTTGTTTTCTTTCCTCTTATCCTCATTAAAGTAGCTCAGAGCTTGAAACAAAGCTGAATTGAAAGTAGTGTTTCTCAACTGTGGTTTTCCAATTTATATATTCTTTCATCAATATACAGAAGCTCCTTGCTTTGGGATATTGAAAAGCAGTGAAACAATTTTCCATTATATTGCCTCTTTCCCCCCAGTGTGAGGTTTTCACCGGAGTTGTGACACATCCCCATAGGAAAAGGGTCAGGTTGAAGAGAAAATGGAAACGGGGGTAGAGAGCTCAGAGCATGGCTCAGAAAAAGGCCCAGTGAACCGGGTTGCCCTCCTTTGTGGAGGACAGCCTGGCTAAGGATTTGTGAACCTTTCTTTGGATCAGTTCACCTATCTGTACTATTACAAAGCCCAGGGGCTGTAAGGAACAGTGTTCCAAACCAGTGGGCATCAATATGCGGCAAATTTGCCCCTACTTCCCCCAGGGGACATTTGATAATATCTGGAGGCATTTTTGCTTGTCACAACTTGATAGACCAAGGATCCTACAATGTACAAGGCAGCCCTTACAGTAAAGAATCATCTTCCCCAGAACACCAATAGTGCTGGAATTGAGAAACCCTGTTGTAAATCAGTTTAGATTTTGGATCGAGAATGGAATGAATTAAGTCTTAGGAAGTTTTAGTAAAGAGCAGAGCCTTTAGGATGGCACCAACCTTCTAGTCCTGGCTTTGTGACCTCCCACTGCATTGCTAGCCATGCATAAGGGTGTTGTGAAAATCTTAAAAATATAAATCCAAATTCAACAGTTGTTTCCTGTTTACTTTGGTGTTAGAACAAGATTAATAATGGCTTTTAGTTTAAACATGTTCTTCCCAGCTTTCTCTGTGTGGTTGATCTATTTGGGAACATGATTAGGCCTGCGGTGTTTCCATATCTATGGTAATGAGCTATACAAGTACAGGTTTCTACTGTGTGTGCCATTCTCACTTTTAGCAATTTAAGCTGTAGACCAGCATTGAAGGAGAATGCATATCTACTGAAAATCTGGCATACAGTTTTATGCAGTTGCTTCAAGACATAAGAGTAAGGGTAAGACATCACAAGGACAGAAATATTGGCCTTTACTTCAAAGGAGTAGGAGCCAGTGGGCGTGGCACCTGCCGCAGGAACAGTGATGTTTCTTCCTGTGGGGCTGATTCCATTCTGTAAGATGGAAAAAGACTTTACAGTTCTGGAAGGCTCTTGAAAATCCCTACTGGAAATTATACTGAGAAAAAAACTTTATCTAATATGTCCTCATGAGAAATAGATTTTAAAATACAGATTAGGCAGAAGAAAAGAAAAAAACTAAAACATCTGTGTTTTCATCACAGAGAAAAATGATGGTTATATTTTAGTGTGGGTGTATAGATCTCCACTGATTCCTTTGTTTTATGTACAGAAGCATATCAAACACCTTCACTAAGATAATAATGATGATAAACACTTAACATGTAATTAGTCACTTATTGAATTCTCCCTCTAACACTGTGGTCCCATTTCACAGGTAAGGGAACTGAGGCAGACAGGCAAAGTAACCTGCCCCTTAACTGCAGAGCTATGATTTGAACGCAGGAGACCTGGCTCCAGAGTTCATGCATATGGCTTAGTAGCCTGTGCTACTCACTTAAAATATAGTCACTTAACATCTTTCCATGTCACTAAATATATCTCGATGGTAGCATTTTAAATGGCTTTTTAGTGTTCATTTATTATATGCCAGGTTTTATCATAATTTTATATACCTTAATTTAAGTATCAAAATCAGTATTAGGCATTTACTTCTTTCCATCTTTGCAATTTTAAATAATTCTACTCTTGAAGACATCTTTGTTCACCTACCTATTAAGAATACAATGAAACTGATGTTAGATCTTATCGTTGAAAGGTGGCGTTTCTTAGCAATCCGCATTTCTCCTTAGATTAGAAGAATCTTGACCTTGTTTTTCAGGAGTGTGGGCCAGTGTGGTGTTGGGGAGTGCTTCCCTTCCACGGCCTCTCCCTTCTTCTTGCTGCTCGGTTTGTTTCTGGGGACCTGCGCAATGCTGGTGAAAGAGACGGGCATCACGGTGTTTGGAGTGTGCTTGGTTTATGATCTCTTTTCCCTCTCCCACAAGCAAGAGAAATCGTAAGTCATTTCAGTGTTTTGATATCAAGCAGTGCATGTGTAGAGAAGCAGCACTTAAATCAATAATTTTCAAACTTTATTTTAAAAAGTATAACATTTTTGTTAAATGTAAGATAAATCTATTATATGTTCAAACTCTTCACATTTTTATAAAAATCATGGGGATTATAAAACTTAGGAACTGAAAAGTATCTATGCTACTTGCAAATTTATATTAATGATCTTTTCTGGTAGTAAGCCACTGAGAAATCCTGATCCATACAGAGCAGCAATTGCGAGTGGGAACGTTTGTTAAGATCTTGCCTTGAATCTGCTTTCACATGCGTGTTATCCATCAAAGGGCGCTGCCGAGTTGGAGTCTGCTCTAGAGTTGATGTTGTTACCTAAGAGTTTTGAGAGCCTGGTTTTGGAGCTTCACAACAGGCCAGTCTAAACCATACAGGAATACATACTCACACATCGTATGCAAATCAAAGAACAAATTTATTTAGTAGCCTGTTTTTATTTTAAAAATTTAAGGTACATTCATTTTATCCTGTGGACTGCAGCTGATAAGAATGACTAAGGCATATTAAAAGTTCAGACACATCCTATAATTTTCTTCCTCTATTAAATACATAATTACTAACAATTTGACATGGAGACCCCATTTTTCAGTAATTATAAGGTTTTTACTTTTGAACTTTTAAAAATGGGGTTCACTTATTTTCCTGCCATGTCCAAAGAAGAATTTTATCTTTTGAAGAACGCTGCCTTTTTCTTCTACTCCCTGCCTCTTTATACTTCTTGACATGAAGATAAGAGCAGGGTTATCGAGCGGCAACAAGCTGAGACGAATCATTAAATTCTGACCACCTTCCGGCCTAGGTGTACTTGGACATCATTTAAGTAGAGTTTAGTGCTCTGTCGACTCCCTGGAAATCTCAGAGGCGTAAAAGGAAGGAACCCAGTTATCATTTTGACTCAAGCTCATGCCAGGAAAGCTGTGAGCCAGAGGACCTCCCCTTGGCTTACGTCAGAATATCTTTCCTCTGTATCCTCGCAGCTGATGGAAGTCATTGCACCCTCCCCCCCTTTTTGGGAGAACAACCTGTCAGACTGTTGCTCCCCACTTTCTTTACTTCCTCCCCACACCCTTCCTGCCTCCGCCTCCTAGCGTCTTTCTGCTTCGCCTCACTGACGGCGGGCAGGGCGGGGTAACTGACTGCACCCCCCCCCCC